ATATTATTTAAGTTGAGACCTATACACGCGGCTCGCGACGGCGGTCGACGTGATCGTCGGCAAGTGACAAAGTTTTCTATTCCTCCGTCGAATGTCGATTCATTAATTCGTTACCTACTCCCGACGAAACCGTACGAGTGTTGCGCGTGGATGCGGTGCGCGCGCACACATGATATACAATATTATCTATTATTATTTGATGATGTCCAAATAACGACCGGATAAGACGGAAACGACGACGACAACGGCGGAGAAAGGATGTATAATATTATTATTTACGAAAATAAGTCGTGAACCCGTGAAACGTCGTCGGACGTAACAAGTACCCACGCGAGTTCACACTGCATATTTATACACGACGGAAAATTAATAATATTATACCGAATATATTATTATAATATATCCCGTCAATAGCGCCATGCGGTGTACGAGCTCCTCCCATTCGTGAAGCAACAACAATAATAATAATATTAAAAGCTTGCACACATTCTCCGTATTATACGAGTGCAACGAGTGCATGCATTCCTCGAAATCAAAACACCACGGCGAAACAAACGATTGCTTATTGTCAGCTATCACAACGTTTCAACAAGCATCTGCATCTCCAATATTGTTTTTCGAAATATTGAATTTTGTCCATCGAACGATTTAACACACACGAGTGCAAATCCAACCACTTTTACAAGTTACAATATTAACGTCTGGAGGGTGATTGGAAATCAGAATGTTATAATTTATGGTTGATAAAGTGCACCAAGAATTTCGAAAGGTATGACGTGAATTTACTCCTTTTGACTACGTTTTTATATTCTCCAGTCCCCGCTCACCAATACTGGATCTTACGCATAGACAATTTTAGAATAAAGCATTTCATTTTATATATTATCATGAAATAAAAAATAAATGGTGGTTTCGTCTTATATTTGAAAGGTTTCAATTTAACCAAAATTATTATTCTTGATTATTTAGTATATAATTTCACCCAAATTTGAATTTGAAATAACCATGAAAAAAAAACTGTGTTTGAATAGTTTTTACTGCTGGGAATTTAAAAATTTTACTTCCCTAATGCACCAAATAGATTCACTTTCCGACTGGAAAAGCTACTGAAGTAAAAATCGAAATATTATTTCGATAACTTATCGTGTATCTACACAAAAAAAAAATCATTGTAAAATCAATACATTCATCGCTCCGCTCTGAATCGACTGAATCTAAAATATGAACGAATAATAGAACAAACATTATAAATATTATTAACATTTCAGACAAAACATAATACATACTGTACTGCGCTGTTATGCCTCATCAAATACAAAATTATTTTAAATTGATTTCCAATCACCTATGCACTCAATACGGATTCTTCCACTTCACGAATATGCGCAACGTAATTGACCATGATAGGTATCTGCACCTAAGTATAGTCTCTTTACATCATACGAGGTCTGTTCAAAAAGTTCCCGAACTATCGTTTCTAAAAATAGAAAAATTACATTATTGTAAATGTTATTATATCAAAATAAAATAGAGAGAAGCATCTATCTTTTCAATTAAATCCCAAATGTTTATTGCTATGGAATCATTAACTGTGCGCGTTCAAAGTAGACGAGTCGTGTGTATTGTGCGATTTTTAAGATGAGTAATTTTCACGAACAACGTATTAATATTAAATTTTGTGTTAAACTTTGTAAATCTTTTACTGAGACTCACAAAATGTTGCAAAATGCTTATGGTGATCAGTGTTTAGGACGTACACAGTGTTGTTAATTTTCTCCAAGACCAAAAAAGCTCGTCAGGTTAGATCAAACGTCAAAGTCAWGCTAACAGTTTTTTTCGACAACCTGGGAGTTATTCATCACGAATTTCTACCTGCAGGACAAACTGTTAACCGATGGTACTATCTAGAAGTCTTAAAACGTCTTCGAGAAAAAGTGCGGAGGAAAAGGCCTGAAGTGTGGAAAAAAACTCATGGTTTCTTCATCACGACAATGCTCCGGCGCACACTTTCCTGTTAATTCGTGATTTTTGCGTGAAAAATCAAATGACCGTGCTTCCTCATCCACCATATTCTCCCGATTTGGCACCAGCAGACTTTTTTTATTTCCAAAACTAAAATATCCGTTAAAAGGACAAAGATTTTCTACGATAGACGAAATAAAAGAAAATTCGCTAACGGAGTTACGAGCAATTCCAGAAACCGCTTTCCAGAATTGCTTTCAACAATGGAAACGTCGTTGGCAAAAGTGTATTAACCAAGAGGGAGAATACTTCGAGGGTGATAAGTCTCAATAGCTTGTAAATAAGCACCATAAATAAAAAATTGAAAAATTCGGGAACTTTTTGAACAGACCTCGTATAACAAATAATGTAACTTTCACAAAGCTTTGGTCTTGTGACTTATTAATTGTGATGACAAATGCAAGTCTCACTGGAAATATAAATCTTTTCGAGACGAAAGGAATGTCTGAACTTCKACTTGCATATATTATACGCGCGAGATATCAATACAATATCACCTTTATTCTTGTATGTATTTTAAGATCTCACAATTTTACACCAATATAATATAGTCTTATCGACTTTAATCACAGGGTGTACTAAATAGTAAATACAATATCACATCACGTTGGTTCATAATAAATATTTGGATAATTCGTATCGTATTCCTCATATAAAAATAATTCAAGAATACATCAGCTCCATCACTCTTCATAAAATAACATAGACCTATTAACTAATTAACTAATTTGTTAATAGGTCTATGTAAAATAATTTGTAGACATTTTAAAATTTGATTTCACACATTTAACATTGATTAAGGATTTCACAACAGCACGCGTAGAAAAGAAACCAAAGAACTTAAATGTTAGTTACCGTGGTAACTGTTTCACTAAACTACTTTCCAAAACTATTTTGTACCTATAGTAGAGAATAAATAATAATGTACTAAATATACTTTACAGACTTACAGTTTATAGTTTACTAAAAACAGTTAAAACGTTAAAATGTTTAATTTAAAAAGAATCGCTCCGTAGTTTGTAAATCATACAATATTACAATAATATAATGTAACACGACTTTACAATGTAATAATATTACATAGTATAAACTATTTTTATACTAATACATATAATAAGTATTAAAACAATTTTAATGTTTTTTGGACTTTTGAAATCAATATATTATGTTTAATTTATAAACAAATGTATTATAATAACGTTATTAATACTTTTGTTGGTAGGTAAGTAATTTCTAACACAAACACATTGATAAATAAATTATATTAATCCTTATGCGTGTTATGTAAATAAAGATTATTGTTCAAGATATCACTTAATAATATCAAAAACATTAAAACATAATATATTATATAACTCATAATGTATTAATATAATGCGCACCATAAATTGTGTAACCGATTCACTTGAACAGAATACTTTTCAGTGGTTTTAAGTTATAGATAATATAAACGTGCGTTATAGTCCATTATCTACATAAAATTGGTCGCTCCACTCTGAATCTAAGTATTCTAAGTTACTAAAGCCAATAAATTATTATTTTTTTTTTTTAATCAACAATCTTCTTAATTACTACGAGCTGTAAATGTTTTACAGGGAGAGGGGTGAACTCATATTGGTTTTATTAGTTTAGTCTCCACCGTCAATGATATAGGTAATAATGTAAGTAATAACATAAATAATAGTAAAAACTAAATACCAAACGTCACTATAACTAGACGATATCGCCACCGTCTAGAAATTGCCAGACAATAAAAGCGATGTTGTAAAAATCAAATATCAATAAATTTTGTTATTATATTTCACAAATATATAGGTATATGATTAGAAAATTATCTATATTACGATATGTTTACTGCTGGTATCTATAGACAATGTTGATTGTAATTCTATATTTGACAAAATACTTGAATTGTGTTCAAAATGTATAAATACGTTGCACGGTGCACAAAAAAAAAATGTAGTCGTAGTTCTCGACATTCTCGTACTACAATATTATGGGATGCAATGTACGTTTGAGTGTTTATAAAATAAATTATGGGTAATAAATAATGAGTTATCGCGATTTATAAATTATATATTGTGACATACCTATCTAGGTACTTTATAGTTGTATACAATTTATCCGATGGACGGCTATTTATTTGACTGTACAAGTACGATCGTGATGGGCTCATTATACAGAACCTGAAATGATGTTTTTGTTAGTACTGATTAAATAGATTTATTTTACAACACAGGTCCGTAACCAATTCAACAAACATCATTATTATCAACATTTGGTCGAAAAAGTACGGAATTATCGTCGTTATTGAAAATATTGCAGAATTACTCCATCGCTTGGAAATTATGGTTATCATTTCCTGATGAACATCGTAGAGGTTAGGTTAGGTTAGGATATTCTATATGATTATTGAAGGAAATTTTATCACTTGACTACAAAAGCAAGAACGCTCATTTTTTCACTCGGAATCAATTCAATTTATACAGATTATGCGGTGACTTTTTTTTGGAATCTGTAACTATTCCAGAAAGTCAAATATGTACCTTTTCTTAAAGTCTTACTTTAACCCAGCCCCATCAAACTAAAAATACATTTGTTTTTATCCTTAGATAAATCAGTCACTTAGATATTTCAGTATTTGTATACTATATTATGACAGTCACGTGTTTACTAGTGAAATTCTATTAAAGATAATTTTTTTTTATGTTCTAGTTGATCAATTTAAATATTTACATATATTAATGGTTATTTAGTTTTACATTTTAAAGGAGTGGTAAAATGTTAAATAGCTACATGAAAAATAAAAGTTGGCATCAACACTACTACTTGTACCAAATATTGATATGGATATTGAATAATAGTACACCTTAAAAATTCAAGGTATTTATTTGTATACTATTTAATTTTATTATCAATTTTGAAATAAAAATAAAAGGAATAATATAAACAGAATACTAAACTTATACAACATGAAATTAAATGTATTACATAATATATTTCAGTGTTTTAATGAACATACATGATACATGTTATATGTTAACTTAATACTTTCTTTAAAGACACAGTGGTATTATCGATACAATGTATGGTAAATTCAGGCGTAATAAATGAGTACCTCAAAATAAGCAACAAAAGTACTTGTATACCATAACATTATACAGTCCTTGTTATGGCACAAATACTCTATCTCTCATTCTTTCTCTCTCACACAATGTATAATACAATATTTTATTTTCATACTTAAAGACTCGTACATTTAAGTACTATAAATTATAATTAAATATTCTAAATATATAAATTTCTTTCATCTACATTAATGGAGATGTAAGTGTTTTAATTATTAAAATTAAATATTCTAAATATACATATTTCTTTCATCTACATTAATGGAGATGTAAGTGTTTTATATCATGTCATTATTTGATATCATTTGACAACAAATACTAACCGTATAACAATATTTTTAATTTCATTAACCCTAAGAGTAAAAACATAAATAGACAAATAATTACAAGAATTGTACAGAGAGAAAATTACCCGTCATACTATATAATATCATCATTCGTAAAAAAAAAAATATATATATAGACTGTACCAATAACACTGAAATTGTTCATGCATCAACAAGCAATGTGACCTAACTTACTTTAATCATAACTTAAGATAATTTTTTGTAAAAATAGAGTAATTTTTAATTAAATTTCTGATAATTATAAGGCATTTATCAATGCTTAAGTCATATCACTTTAGCTAGACTTGAATTTTTTTTTTGGCTGTTCTTCAACTACATCTAAAGCTGAAGTTTCAACAGCTATTCCTAAAACATACAATTATAAAATGAATGATATATTATAATAATCAATCTCAATTTTTGTTATAATTACGTGATAAAAATTCATGTAATTTCTTAGGTACACATGCTTTGGCTTGTTCTAATTGCTCTGCAGTACTTGTACCTGTATTGAGACCTATAAAACAAAATTTAAGTTCTCAATGCTTATTTATTAGTTAAACTAAGTATGTTTCATTATATACCTAATGAAAGGTTCATGCTTTTTAATAAATCCATATCTTCTACAATTTCATAACTGTTACTAAATCCAAATAAATATTCTTTCCTGAAAAAACAATTAAATATTTATATAGGTATTATGAATATTATTGATAGTTAGAATATAAAATTTCTAACTTGTCTTGAGAAATACTGCAATCAATCACAGTTCCAGGATCAGCTTTAATGGCAATGAATGGCAAACTAAGAACTGACGCAGAAGACGGTCGACCATGTATCTGTTCATACTTTTTATTTTTTTCAACAAGTTGTTTAAATGTTACTTGCTATCAACATAAATAAATACAATTTATACTATAAAATATATGTACTAAGTAAAAAAATAATGGTAAAATATTAGAAATGCCATTGATATTGAGTGAAGACATAATTTAATGAAAGCAGCACATACTTGAACAATTAATTCATGCAAAAATGCTTGTTTTTCATTGAGCCTTGCCATTAAATCTTCTCGTTCTCGAGTTAATGTTGTTGACTCCTGATATGAAGTCACTGGTAATCCTATCCATTTGATTTCTTTCTTTTCTTTTGATATAATATTCATGGCCATTAAAACGTTTAAAGCATCATATACTCGTCTTCTCACATTTTTTTGGTCATACTATTGAATTAAAAATGAACACGATGTGAGATTTTAAATATAAATAAAACCAAAATAATTTATGGTAACCATAGGAGAGCTTAGTTGTCTTAGTCCAAAGGTCCCTACACATTGCAGTGTTAGTGGCGGAAGCAGATATAACAAAATGAAGCTGGACCCAATTTTACCGCCACCACTGCAATGTGTGGCGACCTTTACATGGCAAATTTTATATTAACAACGATCAATTTTACTATTTATTTCAAAATTAGAATGAATAGACCAACTATATATTTTAAAAGTAAGATTATTACCCAGGCCATTTTTTATTGGCAGGTATAACAAACTAAGCTTTTAACATTTTAAAACTGCAAATTTATCTACATATTTCAATATTAGCAAAATATTAACATTTCCATGAAGCTACAATAATGTACTAAAAAAGTATCGTGGCATAAAGGGAACCATTATAATTTTTTGATGTGACCATTTTTTTTAAATAAAAATCTTTTTTTCAAATAAAATGCCGCTGCCAGTCATACGGATCACATTGAATGTATTTTTTTTGTTGATCATGTGAATATTAAATTGATATTTAATTTACAAAAGTGCTTAAAAGAAAGTATTAATTTCATCCTTTATAAATACATATTCAACAAMACTTTTTAAATATTATATTAAATATATTGTACTGCAAAAACATCACATATATACTGAGCATATTTATCAGTGGTTTTAATCAAGCTTGAAAGTATTATAATAACTTTAATGAACTAAATTAAAACTAAAATATAAAATATAGTATTCAAGTACAGTGATTCACTAAGTATGCTCAAGCTCAACCCTCTTTATATCTTCAATAATTCAGCTATTCAAAATCTGATTTTTATAATTTTTAATATGCTTAATAACCATATTTTCAAATTCTCGAGAATTATTGTACTAATGTACTACTTAAGTAGTTTGTTGTGAAGATACTAACTTATGTTTTTCAAATGAGAATCCCTTTTTTTAACAACAAATTAATTAGGCAATAAGTTATCTCTATGTTAGTTAATTTGTGTATTAAAGATGATAGGTTGAATGACTTTAAAATATTAATGATTAATATTAACCTAAAGAAGGGTTTCATTTTAATATCAAAGGTTAGTATTTCCACTAGATACTTCTTAAGAAGAACAAAAATAATCAAAAATTAAAAAAAAATTACTTTAAGCTTATTTCAAAATTCTTAAAATCAATTTGAATAAATAAATTATACAAAAAAAAAAAAATCAGAAATGAGCAATTATAACTTATAAATATTGCATTTATAAACTTACTTGTTCAGCATTACTACCCTCTGGATACTCAGCAACAAGTTCATCTGCTACTTCATTATAAGTAGTTAACATTTTACTACGAACTTTTTCACAAACACGCATGGCAAAATGACGGAGACCTTTTCCAGGCTTTTCATTTCGTCTACGTTTACTAAAAAAAAGATTAAAAATTCTTCAATATAAATACATGTAAGTCAAACCTAAGTATAAAATAAACATCTAGTAAAATCAATCTATTTGAAAATATACTGATTTTTTTTAAGTAGACTTGCCTTATAAATATTTAGTAAATTAGTAAAAAAAAGTGATAGAGACATGGAATTTGCATAAGCCCATTAATTTAAATTAAGAAATTTTGGTTTAAAACTTTGTATACTGTACAGTAGTATAGAACTATAAAATATTAAGTTGTGGATTCTAAAACAAACTGTAAGAGTTATATATAATTTGTAACAGAGTGCAGCAGAAAGATCAGGCAAATGAAAAAAAAATATGGATTGTAAATAATTTAAGATTTACTTATGTCTGAAAACTCTCAAAAAGAATATTTTAAAATTTAAAAGTAACAACATTTCAAATTAACTAATTAAAAAATGTTCAATATTAAAAAAATTAGCTACTTGAATTATAAAAACATTTTTCTCAGGTACCTATATAAATTGACAAACTTAAATTTTTCCAAAAATAAACAATTTTATACTTGTAACACAAGTTTCTATAAATCATGAATAAAACTTAATTTAAAATATTGATTAGAACAAGTTATTCAATTTCTCAGGTCATTCAATTACATCTTGTATCTAAACAATGTAAACTTTATGAATACTGAAACTTTATTGAAACCTCAACATACTGATACTATTTAAAATGATTATTTAAAAATATTGTTTGATTCAACTCAAAAAGTAAAACAAATAAACAGGCTTTACAAAATATATTTGTGTAAATAGTTTAGTAACAAAATAATAAGGATAAGTATGGGTCAAATTAAAAAATAAACTAACATAGAAAACCTATATTTTTTCTTAAAATAACTTATACTTGAGTGATTAAGCACAACTTTGGTCTATCCCATGAGGTTTTTTTTTTTATTTGTAAAAGCCAATGAGATAATTTCAAATTATTTTATTTTACCCTAGATACCTATGTTGCATTGATAAATTTTATGATTCATGATAATGCAAAAATAGATTATTAACCACTAATTATGCCCATTAATTGATTAATGCCAGCATTGCAGCTAGGCCCTCACTTATTGTTATAAAATTATTCTTTAAATAGGTAATATAAATATAATAATTTATTTGTCATCAACTAAAAATATTTATTTTATATAACCTTTTTAAAAATTTTAGAAAAATAAATGAAGATCCTATACTAACATTGTTCTCTAAGGTTTCTAAGACTTTTTTTATTTCAAAGCACTATATGTATTACTCTGTCTCACAAACATGAAATAGCAAATAGTATGTTATGAATGGTTAATTTAATCATGTTTTGATTAATTTTAGAGTGAAATGAACAATTTTGAAAAACAAATAACTAACTTTAAAATTAAAATATAAAAAAACCTATCATTCACTAGATAATATTCTTACTTCTAAATTTTTTTATAGGCATATTCACTTTAAAATTAAACATAGCAAAGTTAAATGAATTATTTAGAATGTATAATTTGATATGTTATACGTTTGTAAAAATAGAGACAGAGTCATGGCATCACATGGTGGTAGGCCACAGTCACTAACACTGTTAGCTTCCGATTGGGTGAATATCCAGGTTTTTAGTCACTTACCCTAGTCCCATACACACTTATTATACACCAACCATGCCTCCCCACCACCACAGAAAAACCAGCTAATATCCATGCAATAAATAATAAAAAATATATATACACAACAAATCAATAAGCATTCACTTAAGTCTTAAGTTATAAAATGGTCAGTATAAAATGTTTAAAATATATTAATTTTTGGTTTGATTTTTAACAGTGTTCACAGTATACATTTATAGTAGGACACACAGTATCTATACAAGCTTCCTCAAGTATTGTAAAAATTGACATTAATTAACCAATATCATAAGCTTTACCAGAAAAATTCAAAGATTCAAAAATATTCTCAGTTTAATTTGAGAAATTGAATTTATAAGTAAAAAATGTTTTAAACATTGGTAATTTTTTTAACTAACAACAATTTGCACAATAATGATTAAAAATGTAAGCCAAAAATAATTTTGTTAGAAGATTAGGTTAGGTTAAAAAAATAAAAATAGGATAATATAGACATACTTAAAAATAATAGCAAAGATGGCACTTAACTAATTAATTAATATACAGGATAATTTTTTAAACATGATCATCCTGTTTTCATGGTTAAATTAAGCATAAAATAAAATTTAGATTTTGTACCACTTAAGGATGATCTTGTAACAGTACAAATTTCAGTTTTTCAAATAGGAACTTCTCTTTTTTATTTTTTATTAATAAGCAAAATTTTTTTGAGAATTTTGGTGTATCTAAATCAAAATTTAAGCAAGTAGTTTTTGAGTTATGCAATTCAGTGTTGTAAGGATAATATGTCATGATTATGACTAATGACTAATGAAGTAATGAGTTAAATAAATAGGGACGATTTGAAAAAGTTGGCAATTACTATTGATTTATTAATATAAATAATTTTTAAAACTGATTTATCTATAATAATTAATATTACATCTAACATTACATATAGATTTACTTTTATGGATTATTATTCTTAGTATAAACATTTTATATTCAGAAACTATACATTAACATTTTGATTTAGATACATCAACATTTTCATAAAAATTATTCACTAAATAATTTTCAGTTAAAAATGGATTTCTCATTTAAAAAATCAGAAATATTAAATTTGTAAATATGGTCTTTAAGTCTACTTAAAAATTCTAAAATACAAAATTTGAATAAATGTATTATTAAAGTGAAAAATGGGGGAAGAGCATTCTTAAATAATCGTCCTGTATAATAATATATTAGCTTTTTAAAGTTAATTGGAAAAAATTTAATATGTTAAGTAAAAATCATATTTATTCAATAAACATATAATATAACTGTAACGTTAAGATTTAAGACAAATGAAAATTTTTTTAATCCATGCTAAATAAGATTTCAAATAAAAATTCCTTGATCAGTGAACACAATCATGTAACTTACTAAATCACTTTAGCCAGTTTGATGAAAGAATTATTATCTTTCATAAAATTTATTAAAAAAAAATATTTTATTGTAATTACCTATTTCAGATCATATTTATTTTGGTTAAATTTGACAAAATTATAAAATAAAATTAGATACCTATATGATTCATAAAATTAATGAAAACAATTTATAACTCAATGGAAAAAAATGACCTCAAAAATCAAAATGTAATTTATATTGTTACATAATTTTAGCTTTGTGCCAAGAAGTTTGTTTTACAATAAGCTAAAAAAATTCAATTTTCTACAGCCCTATTTTGTAATATAAGAAAAATAACATGGATGTTTAAATCCTATTAATATATTATGTTTGGAGAAAATGATGAGTAGTGTTATCATTTTTAGTTTTAAAAAAAAAAGTATTTTAACTAAATTTAAAAAAACTGAACAAATAATTAATAATATCTAAAAAGTTAGTTTTGTAAATATTCAATGTGATGTACTCATACTTCATAGTATAACCTTTTTTTTTAATTAAAAATAAAAATTTTAATTTGATGTAMATTTATATACCTATATATTTTTTTTAATTCAAAATAAACAATTTGTAAATCCAATTTTTAGATAACTTTTGATTGTTAAAACATTTCTTTAAGTCATGTAGTTTATTTATGATTTTTTTTTTAAATGCCAAACTCAGCTGGTAATAACTCTTCCTAATTTTACAATAAGTAAAATTATAAAAAATTTACATTAAGTTTACATGGAAATCAAAGGATATTAATTTCAAATTTACACAAATAGTAAAAGGTTTTTTTCTGAAAATGTAACATTAAAATAAATATAAACTATAAAATGAAATTATTAATTACCTACTATCAAAATAATTTTTTAAACCTATTTTATATTTTAATAGTAATTCAATTAAGATAAATATTTTTTATTTAGGTTGATTCATTTGCCAATCAACAAAAAAAAAAATCATTTTTTTAATTTAAAGGTTAGATACTAAATATTGGGTAATTAAAGTAACTTGTCATCACCACATATGAATCTGATATAAATGTATATAAAGTGGTGCAAACTTTATTGTCATTTTTACAGGGAGCAAATCAAGAAATTTATCAGCCAGCACCTGCCAAACATCATTATGAAATGAGTTTTATGAGAATATAAATCAGTACAATATTATACTTATAATATAATTATTGATTATATAATCTTTTTTTATTTTATTTATTAATTTTATTGTGTCAATACACAGATTATTTTTACAATGTCATAAATTTTCAAATTTTGATTATATGTTTACATAGTATTTACAATTTTTAATTTTCAATTTTTTACAATTTTTACTAATTTTTGGATAATTATATGTCTGAGGTGTCTTCTTTGGGTATATAATCTTTAAAACCTTCTAGGATCTACCATAAAGGTACACAGCAACCAAATACAAATTTTTTTTTTTTTGTAAGGGGAGGCAATCCCCCCCTCTCACCAGAATATTTACCCCAATGTATATACATATATTTGTTAATTTAATTTGTTCAACTAAAAATATAAGAAAACCTAATAAATTAAAAAAGTTAGTAATTTTAAGTTGTAAAATTGCTTTTAATAAAAGAATTTATAAAATCTAAAACTTTACCTTTCATTGTTCAAGAGCAAAAATTATTCAATAAAATTGTGTGTAAGTACCTACCTAAATTTTTATCATTTATCAATCATAAAATAATATGTCAAATAGATAGAATTTAAAAGAAATTTTTTTTTTAAATTTAAATACTATTTACAATCACTAGTAAAATACTTTAGATAACTAAATAGAAACTTATGACTAACGTAAGACAAAATTTGGGGTTGGGTGCAAAATAACGGAATAATATTCCATCCACATTTATTACACAAAATTAGAAAAATTATTTACATTATCAGGGCACAGTCAACAAGTTTGAAACAAATTTGAAATTTTTTTGAAAACTAAACTTAGTAAATACAAGAGTGTAAATGCAAAAATGAAACCGCAGGTTCTTTAAAACTTGAAGGCATGTAAGAAAAAATGCACTTGAGTTGGATATTTTTTATTTAGATACCTCATTTCAGTAATTTTTACAGAGAAGACTTAATCAATATTTAGGTTATTCAAAGAAAAACTATGTTGTAAATGTCTAAGCTAGAAAATCAAGTAGGTACGTTTACTCAGTATCGATCTAGCTCATTATTCGACACCTGGCACATTAATTTCCAAAAGAATGAATTCTAGTAATCCAGGTCTGACATAATAACAAAAAAAAATGTAAGCTCCTTGCCTACCCTTGGTTTTTGAACACGAAAAATTATAGTATGTAAGCATACAATATGTTTGTTCATCACACTGGATGTAAGCCCCATTGAACTCCTGCATTGTTAATGTCTACGGCTAGATTCTCAAACCCGCAAAAACTCACGACTGGATTCGTGTCAAGCACTTATCGTTTGGTCCAAAAAAAGTTGGTCCCAGAGTGACCACCAAAGCGTGGATCTCTGGGGGGCGCGTGGCAAGCGGACCCCATTTGCGCGCGTTCCAGCACCTTGCTGGTCCGACCTGGTTTGGAATCCGTCAAGCGGACGCGCGGGCGAATATACTCACTAGGCCGGTATGGGGGCCATGTTGACGACTGGAACTGCTTGACTGGCGGATTCGTTCTCCTGTTTAACGACCACGTACGAGGAAGATGTGGAGGACGACGAAGACATAACGCACCACCGCCCGGCGGCCTTTGGAACGGCGCAGTGAGAACGCGGAAGGCGAGAACAAGCTTAGGATTGAAGGGCGAAGTAGATGATGAACGCTTCCGACCAGACGGGTATTATTGTTGGGTATAGAATAATAGTAACACCACAAAAATGTCGACGGGACGACGCACGTTATCAAGCTGCTCGCTTGGCATCCAAGTGATAACGGATGTTTGGCGGCGTTCGCGAACGGGCGGGAAAAATCGTGTAAGCGCCCCGGGAGGAGAAAAAAATCCCCCCGACCGAAAAAAAAAAAACTCCGAAAACCAATTTCTAAAACCCCCTTTTTTGTGATCAATTTTCACGGCGGTGCGAAAATGTCCCCCCCTCAGACCAGCGACGGAATATACAACGGGGAAATCGCGCACTCTTCGACAGATCACTTTCACCTTTATTATAACTCAGTCAAACTGCAGTATATTACCATTATACTACCTATATCGTAATCAGTGTCATTTTGCATGAAATCGCAGTACCTACCTTAAAGATGTTTCGAATACATTTGATCGTGTTCAAGCGATTAGATTCTAGTACTCATCGTCCCGCGCGTGTGTTCGTCCTTATTGATTGAAAAAAAAACGCGAAAGCTGCGGCCACACATCGTTTCGTTTTAACGGAATTGTCGGCGAAAAATGAAACTTTAATGACAAATAATGCGACACACGTGAACCATCATCAAATACAGATAACTTTTACATTTATAAAAACCACGAGTGATGTGTATGCTACAGCTGCAGCTAACCTTATATAATAGTGAATGAAATCGTTTCCGTCGACCTTTTCGACGGTAATGTAAAAAAACCATCGAGCCATGACTAGCCAACGGAAAGTATAATTACCCTGGACCGCTCGAACAATGTTTGAGATTCCCAAACGTCCATATCGCGGGATGACAAAATACTGGTGTTCATTTGTCCGGAAATGCCTACGATTTTGTGTCACAAAACAACGAAACCTCGAATTGTTTCATTAACCGCTTCAAAATTGGGCCACATCAAATTGTACAGTTGTGTTGGGTTTGATGAGAAAGTTCGAGCGGAGGAAAAAACTAAAAAAAAAAAAAATCATAATAAACTTTCAATTTTCATAATCCGCTGAGATTTCAGAAAAGCGCGGTAAAATCTACGAGCGCACATAAACAATTTACCCGCTGAAGTACGAGTCGAAGAATATCTTGTTTTTGTGGTTAGTCTCTTATCACGCGATKTTATCATAACTAACGTTATCTAGGATCAGCACATTATCTTCTACAACTTTCTACCGCACAATTTATTTTCAAACAATATTCAATTGTTATTATATTTTGACAATTGTTTTCGCTTTTTGTGATTTATAGTAATTTGTACTTGCATGTCACTTTATGTCTTTCACGTTTTACATTTCTGTAAATCACCCCCACCAATGCAATAATTGAGATACATTGTATGTCGGCCACTGTAAAATGTTCTCGAAAAAGAGGAAATTGTGTTGCAGGTTTTGCTTTACAGACCTTTGGCTCGAGCATACGTTCATCAAGTGTGCGACTGCTGCCTGTGCCGAGTTGGGCGTAAGTCTTTGCCTTCAATGTTTTGCAGCCGGTACCGGAGATGTTGTTCATAAGAACACAGATCCGTATAAAGTCTTGTGCAATGCCATCAACATTGGCGACCACTTGTGGACAGCTCACGAAGAAATCACATTACTCGACACATTCATGGATACAATGTCATGGGAAAAAGTTGCTAATAAACTAGGAAGAACACCAAAAGAATGTGAATGCCATTACTTTGATAATTATGTACTTTATCCAAAAATTAAAGTCCAGGAATGTGTGAACAAAAATGCATTTAGATTTGACAGATTTGATGATGTGGATACAAACCCGACAAATGCTCTAATAGGGGATGCATTGGATTTAGAAGGTATTTATATTTTTTTAATTAGTAAAGATTATTATTTATCATATAAAAATGGAATATTATTTATATTTTAACTTTAATCTAGTTTTTGTCTCCTCACTAGTTTTCCCATTACATTTCAGTACTGATCTTGCCATCATTAATTGGCTCAAATTTCAATTTTATTTTTAGAATCATATCATCAGTATGAATTAGCTATTCGTTTAGCTGGATATCAACCAGCACGTGGATCATTTGAAGAAGAATATGATAACCAAGCTGAATGCCTTTTACAATTATTAGATGAACCTACATGGATTGATCAAAAATCAAAATCAATTTTAGAATCAAATGTACTTTATAAACAGCTGAATACAACTATTTTTGACATTTTTTATGAGAGGCTGCAAGAACGATATAGAAGAAGACAAATCGTTAGAGATTATGGACTTGTTGCATTTAATAAACACCAGTTATGGATTAAGTCTATGGAGGTATAGACAATAATATCTCGTTTTTTATTAAAGGGTTTTTCTTATAAAATCTAACTTAATTTCAGATAATATTGGGCCCAGAAATGATGCGAAGGTTAATTCGTTATTTACACCTAATAAAACCACTGGCTTTTGATTTACTTGTTACCAATTTGAAACAAGAACACGAATTATTAGCTAATATCCATAAGCTTATCATTTATCGTAAAAACGGCTTAACTAAAATAGCTCAAATAAATATTTATAAAGAATTAAGTACCAAAAGAGAAGAATATTTAAAAATAAGGCCATTGGGATCGACAACATCTAGAATAATTGAAAACTCAAAGCCTCGTATGAATGTGTGCAATCTTCCAGGTTTCCAAAAACTTGATGATGATGAGAGAGAACTTTGTGCACAGATTAAAATGTTACCTGAATCATATTTGAAATTTAAGGAATTACTTATAAACGAGTGTAAAAAATCGAAAGGTATAATCTTAAAGACTGCAAGAAGTTTGGTTAAAATTGATGTTAACAAGACAAGAAAAATTTATAACTTATTGATGAGTAAAAATATAATTTGGCAACATTGCAAAGACTGATAATATTATTTTTTAAATAAAATAAATTTGTTATTTATATTTTTATAATTATAAATCAACAGGTGAGTAGTCTAAGAGAGGGGAGGGGTATTTAGATTATAAGATGTATAATTCAAAAATATATTAGACCTTTGAACAGCTTCCCCTCCCACCCTGTTTTATTTAAATTTTAAAATAAAACATGCCCTTTAAAAAATTTTGGCTACACGCCTGCTAATTATTGTTATATTTAAGGTAAACCAAGTATTTGTTTAAATAAATGTTATAATTTAAACTTAATACTAAATTAATTCATTTTGTGAATTATTGAATTATTTTATTTTGTATAAAGTGTAAACAATGTTTTTTTCATTAATAAATAATAAAAAATACCACTAAATTTAAACAATATCAATTGTTTTTTTATTTTTTATTCTGTTAAGTCAAATCATTTGATGACGTAATTTTTTATACCTTTACAAACATATAAACTAATAAATCAAGTATGTGTATCACCGTCTTCTCATTATTTTGTTATTGTTACAATAATTAAAAAATAACTTACCTGAACATCAGTTACTAACTATTCAGTGAACCTTATGAACATTTGTTATACTAGCCACTGACTCTCAAAATTGTCATCCAGTTTTGTTTGTATGTAACAAATATAATAAAATTATGTTTTTTTCTTACTCGCAAAAGTCATATTCCCATTCATAATTTTTAGAAGTTTATTATTTTTGAAGTATCCACTGAATCTGATATACATTTTATTGAGACTGGAACAAATATGGACTTTTATTAATCAAATGGTGCTGAGGAATATAATAACTGATGATAAGACACTTCATAATCATTTTTATAGAATACATTTTTTCTTAATTTAACAACACCTTTTATTATACAAAGTTAAAAAMTTAAAACATTCATAATTAATTATACAATTTTTTTTTATATATTTCATAAAAGTACAGTTATAACAATCAATATTCAATATTCAATAATCATCAAAAGTAATAAATATTACAACATAACAAGAGGAATACAATTTTTCCAGAACAATTACTAAAATAATGTATATTATACATAAATGTAATGTATCAAATAGTAATAAAACCAACTAATTACATTTATTTTTTAAAGACTATAAGCCATTAGCCTAGTCAGATAATTACAAAATTTATTTATTGGATAATTTTAAACATGTTTTATAATATTAACTAACAAAAATATACACTGATCCACCGAATTGGTAAAATATATATATATATATGTATGTATGTATATCAGGTTTCTGGGTACTTTAAAAATTACATGAGGAAACGTGGGTAACAAATAAATATTTAATCATATATTTTATATAATTAAAAAAAAATTTATTTTTAATCGTTTAAATTCAGTTCTGTGGTTGTTCGCTTGGATTGTTGCCAAACACTTTAAGTTCATTTCTCAATACTTTGCCAGATGGATTACGTGGAATCATATCCAAGAACTTAACACCTCCGGCCAATTTTTTATATGCTACTACATTCTTCTCAACATGGCTTAATATAGTTTTTTCATCAATGTCCATACCTGGTTGCTTTACAACAAAAGCTCTTGGTATTTCTCCTGACAGCACGTCTGGTATACCTACTACAGCCACATCAGCGACACCCTTCAACTGGGAAATCAAATTTTCTAACTCAGTTGGCGATACCTTTAACAAAAAATATATAAATACATTACATTTTTATTATAGGTAATTATATAAAACGATATGTATTACGTATCGGTATAATATACTCAAATAATTGTTTATGATTTAAGTACATAAAGCTTAAAATTCCAACTTCATATTACAAAATAAGTATTGTTTTATACAATTTACCAACAGTTTTACCATAAAAATAAAATGTTTTAGTTGGAGGCTATATATTTTATATCTCCCTCTACCGACTCTGTAGCTGAACGATAAAAATAATTAAAATGTAAAACATATAATTAATATTTAACTATGTGATAAATACGTGTTAAATCATAAATGCAGCACGCTAATCAATATATTACGTTAGTAAATTGGTATTGAGTTTGTGTTGATCACTTAAATAATAGATCATATTTAACAGTTAAAGTGTTTCGCTTTCGAAAAAGTCTACTAATTCTCTATATTGCTTACACCGTTACACCACAGTGGCGGAATGTGGACATGAGGTCAAGTTTGAACACTTACAAATTTACAACCTTGTATTGTTCTGCTTATTAAACTGTTGGAGGAGAAGGAAGCCCTTAAATGTGTATAGGTATTATGTTTTTATATATATTATATACCTACGCCAATACTTTTCCTAGCAACATTTGATTTTATTTTATGATTATTATTTTGTCACGGTACAATTTATTTAATGTGTCTTTGTCGAAAAACATAAATATTGAATGCGAGCAGATTTCGCATAAACCTGCGAGTCCAAAAATATCGTTAACACATGTAAAAGTATATAAGACCATAATTTATTCTGAATAGGATATTGCATAGAGGTATATGATTTTATAAAACAAAATTGTGAGGTGCAAAAAATATTGAATTAAGTTTTCCACGGTCAAATACGTTGAACGAAACAAATAATATTTTCATTAAAAGTATTTTCCTCCCGTGCACTCTTGTCTCCGACAGTAAAAATAGTTTTATAGCTGAATATAATATTATGTATAATATGTAGCTATTATTATAATATTTTTGTTCGTTTATCGAGAAACCATAGTTCGTCGGCGTTGTGTTGACACTCGGCATTGTTCCATGACGCGGGCGCGTGCGCACTCTACGCCAGTTATTATAATGGTAAAGTTGTGCACCGAGCAGTTTCCTTATCTGTTTTCGTTCCGACTTCCGAGCATTTCTACGGTACCGTTGAACGGCGTCTGACTCGTTTACCGTTCTAATAATATTGTTGTGAAATTTACGTTTACAACCGCAATAATAATAATATCATTAACGTACGTAATTATTATTACTGTTGTGTACGGTTCGTGTTGTGTTCCGAATCCGAAATCTCGTGTGATCCGTCAACGAACAACTGGACCAAGGTTGGTGAAGCGGAAAGAAATTGCAGGACAACGGACACGCACAGGTTGGTACCGTACGCTTAATGTTACCACCATCCAGCGTCCGCAATGATCGAAAACGCGGAACTAGTCATGCAAATGCTGGAGATGTACCAGATGTACAAGCAACAGGTTCCCGTGGAACTGGAAGAGTACCTGAGGTACGTCGCCAAGACCGGAAATACACTGTTCCAGTGGACGTTGGTCAAGCCGTTCATCCGTGAGAAGATTATGAACGTTATTGCTGAGTTTGTGGAACAATCCTCGTTGTCTGACATACCCCCATATCCAAATGTAGATCCGTTCAACTACGAGGCTATGAAGACAATGTTGTTAGAACGTTTCGACACTTTCAATGGGCCCCCGTTCACCATTCAAAGGCTTTGCGAGTTATTGTCTTGCCCGAGGAAAGAATACAACCGTGTGGACAAGTTCATGCGTGCCGTGGAAAAGAACATATTGGTCGTCAGTACCTGTGATTTGAGACCCAAGCGAGAAGAGCCCATTGTCAATGGTGCCCCAGATCGGTGGGAAAATGGGAAAGAGCCCGATATCAGTATGGAATTGGTTGATAAAAATAATGTTATTACTGACGCAAATGTCCTAAATGGTAATGATACAGTTGAAAGTCTTCTGAACGAACTAGAATCAATGAAAACACCTGAAACCAAACTGGATGAATCAAATTTAGAACATAAAGATCTTCTTGTCGCACAAGTTACCGATAAAGTTGAATCTAATATTACACCTGAAGAACCCAAACAAGATACTCCAATATTAATCACCCAAGATACACCACTTCAGACACAGATTACAGAATCTACTTCAGAAGTTATAGAACCAGTCAATATTGATGTCCAACCAGTCAATATTGATATTCCACAAAATGTTACTGTTGATCATGACACTATAGTTGACCAACCAAAAGAGTTAAACTCTGAAGTCTCTGAAATTCAATCTGTTGAAGTAAAAGAACAAACTGTAAGTAATCCTATTGATGAGCTTAAAGGTTTATCCCAAAATATAGAGCTTGAAATCGCTAAATCAAAAACTGAAGAGTCAATCTTAGAAAGTAATAAATTGGATAATTTGGAATTAATACCGACAGATGTTGATCGAGTAGAAGGTTCAATTATTCATCAAACTTCTGATTCTGATAATAAAGTAGAACTAGATATAGAATCTTCTCAACCAGCAGTTTTGTTGGAAAAATCAGACGAAAATCTTGAAAAAATGGATGTACAAATCGAAGATGTATCCAAAATTATGGAATCGGAAGTAATCAGTGATAATATACAAGAAGAATGTATAAAACCTACCGAAATTCAAAATGACAAACAACAAACTGTTGAATCTACCATTGAAGTACCTACTGTAGACCCAATTTCTATAGATATGGAAGTAGAACTAGAGAAGACAGAAAATAATATTATTCTTGACGTTATACCACAAGAAAGTGTTAAAGAAAATGATGACACCCAGGTAACAGAACCTAATACAACTGTTGAAGAACCTCAAGTACAGGATGAAAATAAATTGACTGCAAGTGAATAGTCTTACTAAATATTAGACCTTAAAGAATATTACATACATTGACTGGTTAGGTTAATAATAATAATGAAATTTTATCAATTAGGTAAAAGTTATGTAAAATTTTATGTTTATATGTACCTACGTGATAAATTCAGAATAAGTTATTTCATTTACTGTACAAAAATATTTGCAAATATTGCTATTTTGATTTAATCAATAATTAATTTTTTCATACATAATTTTAAATGAATAAAAATGTAGTTTATTTTGAATAAAGCATTTTTATTTTTATCAAAACATAACAAATAATATATGTTTCAACTATCTTTAGTGCAATACCTACATTATCTGTTCATAATGTATAATATTTTCTTGTCTTATTCAGACTCGTTTATTTCATGTTATTTTAATAAAAATCCAATTACACGTGAGAAAGTACTCATTCAAGGTAATTCATATTTATTTAATAAATAAAAAGTATAAATATATATATATATATAATATGTGTGTTTCATTCCTATTTTAATGTATTGTCAAATACACATTACTTTTAAATGTAATTATTGATTTATTTTTGATGAAGAAATTTAATTTGTATCTCTAAATAATCTATATAGTTGGTTTTGAATTTTATACTCTAATATTTCTTGTTTAAATGACTGAATAACTTATGCTTGAATATTTTATTAACCATAAAAAATTTTCCATCTGAATATAATAAATTATATTTATACTTATACATTATCAATTATCATCCCATTATCAATATCTAATATCGTTATGAAATTTGTTTAAATATATTACTTATAAAACAATCATAGGCGTGCGCAGACTTTATTCACAGGTTATGCAATAAGACAAATAGGGGGCCTCAAAAAAAAAAATCACCTAACCTATATTGTAACTAAGATACTCAACATAATTTTATTGGATTTAAAGAAAGAATAAATAATTTATTCTAAAAAACAAAAAAATCGATTCTGTGCCGTTAAACATTTTCTTTTACCACATATAGGACTTAATTTACAATCTAAGTTTTTTTCAAATATAGGTACTAGTGGTACTACTTATACCTTCTTTGCTCTCTCAGAATTTAAAACCACACATAGTTTTACAGTAGAATATTAAACAATGCATTGCAGAAATAAGTAGTTTAAAATTTGAATTATATTTATTAAAAGAAAATCTATTATTTCTTAAATTTAAGTATATATTATATGGAAAGTCTTCAAATAATTTTAACATATATTTATAAAGTTGTTACGTCTATAGTTTGGATTAACTTGTTGGTCACGAGAAAATTTAAAACTAAAAAACATTTTTTTAAATACTTTATSAGATATTATCAAAAATGCTTTGTTATGATAAACATGCGCCCTTCAAATGAAGCTCCAAACAGACGATGCAGTGGCATACCCTGCATACCCCGTGCGCACGCCTATGAAAACAATATCTAAGCGTTTTCATTATTTGTCTTTAGAGATTAACCATCAGATTCTTTTTCAAATGTATAAGAAAACCAAATTAAATATCAGTATACATTATTATTAGTATTTATGATTTTACTTATTTATATTATATTGATAAATATTTATTTATTAAATTTATAATAGTACTGGACCTCAGTGCTGCATTTAGACATTTTGCGCCCCGGTGCAAAAAAAAAAATTGGCGCCTCCTAAGCCCCGGTGAAAAAAAATTTGTTCCTCCCACAGAAAATATGTGAGATAGATCAGTGTTTCTCAACCTGGGGGTCGCGACTTATTATTTAGGGTCGCAATCGAATGATTTAAATCAATKCGAAAATTAAAAGCTCAAATAATAAAAAAATAAAATCAATAAAATATTATTATATTACATACCTATTACGAGTATAGATTATTTATATTAAAATGGAAAACACACTATTATCATTTTTAAAGCGATATTACTCTATGACGTCTATTAAAGAATCTATACTAAACGTTGAATATAGATTATCAAGTATCAACCTAAGATAAGGCCACCGCGACGGCCGCAGTGCACACTGCACATATTATATTATTATAAAAATCCAGATTAAAAATATATTTATATAATAAAATGAAATATTTAATGTACGTTTTTTTTAATTTTAAATAAATATAATATTATAATATGTATCTTTTATATTTCTCGTGTATAGTACTTGTAGTAACTATAGACTCTAGATTATTTATAATGATAATCTAAGCGAGTATGTAAAAATATATATGTAGGGGTCGCTAAAAAATTTAAATTTAAAAAAGGGGTCGCCACAGTAAAAAGGTTGAGAAACACTGAGATAGATCATCATTAACCTTTTAGATTTTGAGCGAAGAAAAGAATATGTTTAAGAGTGCTTTTAAAAAAATATATTGTTTAGTAATTGCTTGATCTCTCCGCAAAGATATATTGGAATTTATGTCACTTAAAACTTGCTAATAATTCATCATTAAGTTGTTTTTTTTTTAGCATATTTAAGTAGGTACTTCATGGATAAATAAAATAAAATTATATAAAACTATGCAAATAAATATTTTATATTTTTTTGTATATGGTATTTTATAAAATTAATGTAACTATATACAGGACTGCAAGTGGTTTAAACTATTTAAAAAAGTGACTGAATTTATTCATAAAAGTGACAAAAAAGTTACCTGCATAAATTTGTTTCAAAACAACTTGTCAACTTACCAGTTATTAAACATTAATTATCTTTGAATCTATACATACCTATAGTTTAATTGATTCTTATTTACTTAATTTTGTAAAAATTACAAAAAAATAATGATTATAATAAACAAATAATTTAATAGCAAATAATTAAATAATATTACCTATTTAAATGAATAATGTTTATAATATAGAATAATATTCAAGATCATTGTTTTGATTGTTTAAATAATAAATTTCAAACGGCATAATTTTACTATATAATATATACAATACTATTATACTAGATTATATTATATAATACTGTTATAAAAATAAATTAAAGTATCCAATTTTAAAAATTTATAAGTAAAGACATTTCTGACCACAAMATTTTGGCGCCCCTAAAATACTGGCGCCCAGGGCAGTTGTACCCAGTGCCCTCCCCTAAATGCGGCACTGCTGGACCTTAACAAATATTGTGTGTAATTATGTAATTTACGACCAGCAGACAAGCTAACTGATCAAAAGTTGACAAATCTTAGCAATAATTGTTTTGATTACAATTTACATAAATAAACTATATTCATATAATTGAGTAACAAAGTAATATATTATGTAGGTAGGTACGAAATTTCAAAAACAATAAAAAAGCATAATAGGTATTGACTTATTTTTAATCAATATCTATAAATGTAATCAGGATAAGATTTTATGATATTAACTGAAATTCCAGTTACCTATAAGCATACTAAATGGTAACTATTTCTTCATTATAAACAAATAGTATCCCCTTAGATGATAGATATAATTACCTACTCGTTATCTTTATTTGTCATAAGTATTTAATATATGATTTTGATTATAGTTTAGTAAGCAACAAGTAGAATATCCCAATACAGTATAATTAGGTAATTTAATCATCAGAAATAATTAGCGTTAATGAGTTGTAACTTAAAAATATTTATGAAAAATTATGATACAAATAGTTTTACCAAAATATCTATTTTAATAAGAAATATTATTTTAAAAATAAAACTAATATATTATAATACACTTATTATGGAACCTGCTATAATAGTGGTAATAGGTGCATTAGCATTGTACAAAATTTAGTATTAGGCTTCAGAAAAAAGTATTTGGTTTGTTACAAATATGAAAATAATAATTAAGTAGGTACCTTATTTATTTTATTCTTCTTTTAAGTCAATGAATATTTTCGATATATTTACAATGCTTTAAGACCAACTAGTCAAAAACCTTTAATTAAATTATCAAACTTTAGCTACACATTAGAAACAAAAATTTTAAACATTTTCAACTAAAAATATTTTGTAAATGTTCGTTATTTTAACAAATATTTATGTTGTATAAAATCTTATTTTTAGCTGTGCTTCAAAAAGTAACGAACTAATGACAGACTCACAAAATAACAACACACTAAAACCTCAATACGAATCTAAAATATAAGTACCTACCTACCATCCAAATTCGAGTAAGAGTAGTTTGTAAAATTTTTACTTTTATTTCACTTATTACCTTTTTGAAAATATTTATGAGGAAATTGTTTTAAAAAATTACCATGCTTAGAAATATGGCATGAGTATCATATAGATAATATATGAGTAATAAGTAAAACATTGTTTAAATATTTTACCTAAAAAGTTAATCTTAGGTATGGATGATATTCACTTACTTGATTTCCTTTGACTTTTATCAATTCCTTAGTCCTGTCTACAACGTAGAAATATTCGTCCTCGTCATAATAAACAACATCACCCGTATGCAACCAACCATCTTCGTCCACAGTTTCTTTGGTTGCTTTTTCATTGTTTAGATATCCAGCCATCACCTAAATCAAAATTAATTAAAAATATTTCAACTAATGTATAGATAAATTGAATGTACCTGTGGTCCTCTAATCAATAGTTCTCCAGATTTATGTGGTCCCAAGTCACAGCCATCGGTTAAACTGACCACCCTAGCTTGAGTACTTAGTACAAGTTGTCCTGTACTTCCAGTTTTGTTCTCAGGCAATATAACTCTGGTGTATAAAGACACGGGAGATGATTCGGTCATTCCATAACCTGAAAATATTTAATTGGAAATAGAAATACGGCGGCTCTATGCCAGTTTGACCCACTTATAGCTACGATAGAAATAGGGCTTACGAGATTTAAACAAACGATATAATTATCCACCCGCAATAATCAATAATTTAAGACTGAACTATGAAAAAAAGTTTTGGTGACCAGGAATTCGATGCATTTACATTATTTCTTATATTTATATAAAATGCTTGCTTTTAAAGAAATTTGATTCATGTTAAGAAAAATGATATACTTAGTACCTATGTATTTGCATTTTTCTCATTTCGAGTCCGACTTCTTGTTGGAGTACACTAACATTTTTGTTTTATTTAAAATAAATACTCAATGGTAGATAAGAAATAAAACATACATTTTTTTTTAAATATTTTAAAGTCATCAAGTCTCGATCTTTAAAGATGATATTTTACCTAGAAAATTAAGTTGACCATTTACAATTTATGTATTTATGTATATACTCGTATAACGGTATTAATCTGTTTTGCATTTATGGAAATGCAAAACAATTTTGTTTGTATCACCTTCCATTTTTATGTCTTTTGATACTTCTTTAATATATTTAATAATAATTTTAGGAAATTAACAGTAAATATTACTTTTACAATTTATTATTATTATATTTACTGTTAAAATATAAGTAACAAGAATAAAACGTAATTTGTGTGCCATTTTATTCAAATCGCCCTCCTCTACCTATTTTTTTTCAAAGCCACTACCTAGGTCCTGTTTCGAGAACCAAATCTTGAGCCACATCGACACTATTCATATTATATTTAATGAGTATTATCTCTACAATGTAGCCATATAGGTAAGTATTAATTGTCTTTGCATAACCTTATAATATAATATTTATGTTCTATGAATATCTGTAACAAAACTAAACTAACCTTGTCTAATTCTAATGTCTTTTTGTGCTTTAAGTAAGAAATTATCGATAAGGCCTTTCGATGCTGGTGCTGCACCACAAGTAATTTCTTTGATTGAGCTTAAATGTTCAGCTTTTACTGACGGATGAGAGGCTAGGAACAACAGTAATGAAGGCACCACAAACAGAAAAGTTGGCTAAATGATAATTATTTTAAAGATAATACAAAACATTAAATTATTTATCTTAATGTTTTAATTAATATTATGTAAATTTACGCACCTTATATTTAAGCACACATTCAATGTATGATTCAGGAGTAAATTTTGGTATGGTAATCATATGAAGACCATGCGATAATACTCCATTTAATATTCCATTAAAACCATAAATATGGAAGAATGGTAAAACACTAAGAACTCTTTCTTGATAGGTGTCTATAAAATTAAATTGCCAATGAATGTGAAATACAAATAACTGCTAATTTACGGGGTTCAAGTGTTATTAATGATAATAATAAATAATAAATAATAATTAAATGTAGCACAATTACCAGTTGTTGGTTCATAACTGATGAGGTCTTTGTTTGTACATTGTTCCAAATTTATAGCACAATTTCTATGGGTTAACATTACACCCTTCGGAAGCCCAGTTGTACCACTAGAATATGGCAGTAAGGCAACTTCATGGGCAAATGATTCTGGTAGTTCTTCAGGCGTTTGTCCTGAGACTAAAGTTTTGAAATCATATATGCGAGCTTTTTCATTCGCAACTTCTTCGCCACCAAATACTATGGTACCCGCATAACTTTTAAGAGTAGGGAATACTTCTTGAATTACGGGAAGTAATAAAGAGATCGTCATGCAGAGTTTTACACCAGCGTTTTCGAATTGTCGTCTTACCTCCACTAAAACAGAACAATTAACAATGATAAGACATTGACTTTAAAATAAACATAACATGCACAAAATACGAATTTTACACGATTCTTAACAAAATATCTTACTGGGAGTGTAAAGAGGATTAACAAAAGTGACGACTAGTCCCGCTTCGAGGGCTCCATGAATGGCAAAAACGTACTCTGGTAGGTTAGGCAATAATAGCCCAACCACATCACCTTTTTTCAAACCAAGTTTCGAAATAAGAGTGCTAGCAAACAATCTGCAAATCATGCGACCTTCGCCATAAGTGTATGATCTGCCACTACTGCCACACGTCTAAAAATATAATTATATTACTAAAATGTACATTTGATAAATATAAATATTTAAATACGCGTGAAAAATAAATCAGTTATATACGATACATAATTGAATATAATTAATAAATGTAAGTATTAATTACGATGATTATTTAATATCGTAGACATCAAGTAGGTAAATAAGCGTGTAAATATCAACGATTATTTTTACTCATAAAAATTAATTTTATTGCGATACAATTTTACAATGTAAATATTTAATTACTAATTAAAAACACCATTGATTATAAATATTATAAATAATCAATGATATTACCTACTACTAAATAAATATATAGTTATTGAAGTATTTACTATATTTWTCATTAAATCTCATAAATAAATCACTTAATCACTGAAAAGTAACTAGGTTTTAGGAAACAAAAAATGTTATATATTGTGCAAGGACTATAATCTTTATCATTTAGCTATTATTACGCATAATGATACAACGATGCATTTATAAACTATTAAATACATATTATAATATAATATATGATGCACCTATACATAATATTTTATGATTATTATACAAACACAAAATGATCAGAAAGGCGAATAAGAAATAAGAACGAATAATGAAATAAAATAATTTTTACAAGAAGAAATTAAACAAATGCTAACAGAATGAAAAATGATTTTATTGTAACACTTATGGAGATCGTATGGCACCGTATGAAAGATGTGTCGAACTGGAAACCAAAAGAAATGAGACCAGTAGTGGGTAGGACAGAGAAAAGATAGATAGACAAACCCAAACAGAATTTCAGGATATTTGGGGTTGACAACCAGGAGACATTGGCAAATAATAGAGAGAAATGGAGTAAAAAGCGTACTGTAAGCTATATAGATCAGTGCGGATCACATATGGGTCTTATAGTGGCCTATAAAAGCTGAAGAAAAACACAAAAAAAACTTGAAATTAGTCGATAAGACCATACTCCACATTAATTTGAAGTAATAATATGAAAATATACGCTTTCTTAAAATATTACTAAGTATGAACACTATGAACATTTATGTTAAATGTTTAAATGTGTAAAGATATGGTCAAAAATAAAAAGCATAAGTTAATGTGAAAGTAAGGTTAAGCACTAAGTAACTAGTTAGAAAGTTAGAATTTACTTTGTAGGTAACTTTTCTAACTTAACTAGGCAATGACTTTTAAAAATCTAAAAACCTAGGTAGAGTTAAATTTATTTTTATGTGCTCTATTTTTCAAATACAAAATTTATCATTTATTAACATTATTCTTAAAATTCAATAAATATTTTTTTACTTTAAAAACTAATAGAGCAATGATATACAAAAGTACATTAATTTTTCCAAGTACCTAACTAATTTTTTTCAAACTATCAGTTGGTATATTAATCAAACAATTTATAATTTAACTAAGTTATTATAGGTATTTTATAAACTTTTTAATTATACGTGACTACCTGACAACCTAACCTTTTTTTTCTTCAAATATTTCATCTTTTACTATCTAGTTAGGAATTCTATTTTATTTTCGATATTGTAGGTACTTACATTTTTACATTATTATACCATATGCACTAGATTCTTACACTATGCAGTGTAAAAGTAAAATATATACCTACCCAATTCCTAAGCCACATCATAATGACGACTCATTATATTTAATCATTTTATTTTTATACTATTAATATTTTGTAAATGTTTATACTTTATAGGTAATATAGGTTTGTAATGCTAAATATTAAAATAATGAAATGCATATTTAAATTATAACAAAGTATAGTGTTTCAATGACAAAACATTACTTTTATTCAAGGTATATTGAAAAGTATGCAACAAGTATAAGTAATATGTGTTATTGTTTATCAATACACCTTGCTTTAATTCTATAAAAACAAAAAACAAAATTGGACTTTTGACAGGTTTCACTTTGTACATTGAATGATTTAGTAACCAGGAAATGATAAAAAAAAATCGATTGATTTCTCAATACATTTTTGGGACGATGGTATGTAGATAATGAACCGATAACTACCGGGTAGCGTTCAAAAGGCTATAGTGTATACGATAGTATATGCAAAAGTAGATACGAGCTAATAAAAAAACGGTATAACACATCAACAGCCACCACAAGGTCGAGATTTTCTAATATTATCTAACTATGTCAATGTACGTGTACCTATATAAAATACGTGGTCGTCGTTGCCTCTGTTGCAGGTAGATTATATTTGTAAGGTATTTTTATTGCAATAATTATTTTAATTTTTAAAACCCGGAAATCGTTATTTGCAATATTGAGGAACGCGTACAACAAGCAGTTATTTAGCGTAACCATCTATTATATAGTACCTATTATAAAAATATGCAATTCATAATTATTTTATAAATTCGTTAAAATTCAAGAATAATATAAACCTAACAATTTTGATCGAAACAATTGTAAATAAATAAAATATACGATACAATATAAACTACCTATCAAAAATGTATTTCAATTTGTACAGCAATTAAATTTATTGAATTATATCTGATGTGTAAAAATGATAAGTATGTAAATTTATTTATAAAAGTTGTTAATGAGTGGGTGATTACTAAAACCGAACATTTGTCTATCTGCATTAGGTACCTACTCATGAAACAAACGCGTAAATAACTAAATCTATGGTATTCTAATTAAGCATAATTTCCTAGTGTGTTGATTATAGTAAAAGTTTTTTGTTATTTTTTATTAAATATTTTTTTTTTTTGTAAATTAACTTTTGGAAACATGGTTGGTTTGGAATACGTGCAATGTTTTTGATACTAAATAACCCGGATGGGCGATCCATTCGGAAACTAGTGGCAGCAGACGGTGCGTACACTCTATCATTTTACGTGAATGATTACAGCAACCATGCCACGCTATAAGCCACTTTTTATGTTATGATTGACCAGATTATGAGAATACTGATATAGATAGGTAGTTTTAATGTAAATTCTAAAGTATGTGTAAGTGTACTATGCACTGTACACTGTACACTACCAAATTGCTATAACATTATAATGTACGTGTTACCTACATATTGGCAATTTGATTTGATTTAATTTATTTAATATAATGTATTTGATTGTTTCATATTTGTATCATTATAGCGCTGCACATATTATTTAAACAATCGAATATAAAAATAATATATACCTAATCATTACCTTTTATAAACATGCATACCTATATTTTATATAATATAATAGGTATCTAATATAATAATTAAACGTTACATTTATTAGTTTCAGTAAGCTATTAATTGCATTATATACTTTCCCAATTCCGTTACCTATAGCTACAACATTTTCCAACCATCATATACAAGATTAAACTATGTACATAATTATATTACACCACGGCAAATTATTTTTCTACGCAAGTATGTTTTGTATAATCATTTTTGTGCATTTATAAATTGCACTGCAAATGTATGCAGATTAGGTATATGACAAATAAATACTTAATAATGTAATAACTATTACAATAATTATTTACAAGTACAACGAAAATTAACAAGACTGAGAAAATAACTAAATAACAAGCATGTCAGTATCGTATACACTGTATACGCGGAAAGGCGCTTATCTAAAAGTTATTGTCTCTATAAAAAATAATTTTAAGCGTCAACTGTTAGTGCGATAAGTACATATTATGTCAATGGATAAGTACAATAATCACAGTTGATTGCACTATTGCAGGTTGTATTTTTAAAACTATAATAGTTGGACTTCATACTATCACCGACAACTTTTCATATGTACACCAATTACACAATAGTTCAATGATGCATAGGAAATGAAAAAAAAAATAATAATAATAATATAAGTATCCCAAAGTTCAAAATGAGTTCATAACAATAATAATGATATTGTATTTAGTATAGTGAATAATGTATAATATTATGATTTATTTTATACCATTGAACGATAAATATTTATCAAAATACTTTTACGAAATCCTGAAGTCGAATTTTGATGGACATTAATCACTGTCCGGTGTGAGGTACCTAATATTGTTTTAAATAAACAAAAAAAATAAAGGAATAACATAATTAAAACGTATATTAGTATGATGTAAGATGTATATTAATACCAAAAATCATCAACGTTGACTTGAAGCGCCTATATATACATTTCAATAATTAAATTATACAAAATATAACTACGTGTAAATAATAATAACAATAACAACTACAGAAAAGAATAATCAGTCATTGACGTTTGTACATAATATTTAGTATTTTATAGAACAATATTATATTAATAATTTAAATTATTTGCGAATTTATTTCAGTCGTAATTAAGAACCATTAAAACTGTGACCGTTGTAAATAAACAAAAACATAAAAAAAAAATTAAGGTACCTATGCCCTATTCAATTTAATTTCTGCTAACACTAATCATCATGGGGTTTTTACAATTAAATGCAATTCAAAACGGACCACGAAGTAATATATTTTAATATTTTATAATCTATAATAATAATATACAATAATTACACATCACACAACGACAACATCGTATATAATTACAATAATTTTTATCTAGGTAGGTAGTTAATAGTATTTGAAAATTGAAAATTGAAAACAGTAAAATTATCAACTTTATTTGTTTAACTGACGCACAAATTAGAATTAGTGGCATTCAATGTTTGTTTTGAACAAAGCACTTACGATTTATGAGCCATACAATGTTTATCTCACTTTTCAAATGTAGATATGTACTCATTACCTGCTCGATAATAAAAAGTAGACAGCTATTAGTACTATAGTATTGAATAAATATTATTGCAGATTTGCAGCTAGTGAGTGATTTTTTCATACTATGCGCAATGCATATATCTACATTTAAAATATTTTATAATGCGGTAAAAAAAGGTGAAATTATTTACAATTATTGACAATCTTTTCAACTATTGAACGATGTATATATTAAAATAATAATGTTTCATTATATATAATAATATGTGATATTATGAATTGTGATAAAATTTGGCAATTAATAGAATCTATATCTGCTCACAGTAACTCGTACAATTATCGTACAATATTATTTAAAAGTGATTATTGCATAAATTGATAACTTAAATAATATGATATCATATTTAACTAACATTTCATTTTTAAGCGTAATTATTATCCTCTGCGTAAATTGAAAATATATCGATTTGTAAAATGTTTGCGCACAGCAATTCTAGTACAACGTTTTTCAAATCGAAAAACACGCAGATTAAAAATAGCTATTCGTTGACTCGAAATCAAAAACTCTTTCAGTATATTTGCGTTGGTCGTGTGTAGTATGTATAATACTATAATAACGTATGACGTACATGCGCTCAGAACATAAAATAACTCCCTAGTACGTGTATAAAGTTTACTCGTGTAAAAAACATGTTATACGCGTTAAGTATTTTTAATAAGTACAATTATATAAGATACCACGGTCTATGAATAATTAGGTGGTATTTTAATCGTACTAATAGTATACTGATGTCTTTTTCCGTATAACAGTTGATAGTTACACTCCACTGCTTCATGTTATGAATATAAAAAATATCAATTGTCCATACGCTGAACGTTTAAATGTGATTTGAAAATTTACTTTCATTGAAGTGATCGTAACCCGTTGGTGACTAGTGACTTTAGAATAGGTATCCGACGAGATATTTATACATACCTAACACCAAAACGAATAGTATTATGAAAATCAAGTTTATAAAAAAGAAATTTCACTGTTTTATTGATCGCGTCATTATACCATAACAAGGATCCGTGGTGGATTATATATTATACGATATTATATATAAACCTAGAAGATACAAATACTTAAAATATAACCCAGTGTATAGGTACATTTGATAAATGTAACATATTATATAGATTATAGATTATCTAGGTAATATTAGGCACTGATATTTTCAGACTTTCGCTCGCAGGTTTATAACGCTGTATTGTCTTTAGGTGGGACAAACGTTTGCGTATATTATGTTTATGCGTGTTTATTAAATAGCCGAGGTGAAAATATTATTACTGATGACATGGGATTCAAGAAGTAGATAGCCACACGAGAAACCAGGTAGGAGTGAGTGCTGGGCAAGTGTGTAGGCAGATGACCATCACGAATCACGACAAAGAAGTTATGCCTATTAAATTACGAACTGTTAGCGCGCAGTCCAGGACAACAATAATATACGCAAA